GGCACATGCTCAGTCTTAATATGCATGCATCTTAAATTTTGAAGTGATTTCACAATATTTTCTAAGTGGATTGTTCTAATTTTATATCTCTACCTTCGGTATGCACTGTGGCCTGAATTGTGTACACCCACTTCCCCTTTATATGTTGAAGTCCTCACCCCCAGGTGTTCTAACTGCAATTGTATTTAGAGTAGGGCTTTTAAAGAGCTAATTAAGTTAAAATGAGGCCACTGGGGAAAGCCCTAAGTCTGACTGTTGTCCTTAGAAAAGGGAATTTGGACACACAAAATAGACGTCATGGAATCACTGACACAGAGGAAAGACTGATGAGCACACAGGAGAAGGTGACCATCTCTGCAAGCCAGAGAGAGAGGCTTCAGAAGAAATCCAATCTTCCAACACCTTGATTTTGGACTTTTAGCCTTTGTAACGGTGGAAAAAGGAATTTCTGTTGTTTAAGCTATCAACTTTATGGTATTTTGTTAGGGTAGCCCTAGCAAACTAATACCATATATGAGAGTTCCAGTTTCTCTATATCCCCACCAACACTCAACATCACACTTTTTAATTGTTAGGCTAATAGGTAAGAAATGTTATCTCTTTAAATTTGAATATCCCAGTTACTAAAATTTTAAAGGTGACCGCTTCTCATGATTATTAATCAGTAAAGTCATCACCTGTGAATTACTGGTTCATATACTTTGCACATTTTCTATTAGATTGTCTTTTTCCTATAGATTTGAAGGAGTTCTTTATATAATGTAGATAATGATCTAGATATTTTCTATCATCTTGATCTCCATCTATGACTTGCTTATAAACTTAACTGCTTAGAAATTCCTATTACTATTTTAGTTGTTCAGATAGAATGTTCTGTACAGTCATGTACTGCATAACAACATTTCAGTCAGCAACAGACTGCATGTATGGTAATGGTCCCATAAGATGATAATGGAACTGAAAAGTTCCTATCACCTAGTGATGGCACAGCCATCCTGATGTCATAAGTGAACACATTGCTCCCTTGTTTGTGGTGGTATGGATATAAACAAACTTAGTGTACTGGTAGTCATATAAAAGTGTAGCACATACAGTTATCTATAATACATAAGAATTAATAATGATAATAAATGACTATGTTACAGGTTTATGTATTTTACTACACTGTATTTTCATGGTTGTTTTAGAGTGTGCCTTTTCCACTTATAAAGAGAAAAAAGTTTTCTGTAAAACAGTATGCTGTGTTATGCCAGCAGCAGCCTTACACATTTTCTGTCCACTGCGTCTCTTGATTGCGTCATTTTCTTTTGTGCTTGGTTTAATCTCATGTTGTTTTTGTACAGTAACATGCTGTACAGGCTTGTGGGGTGGGAGCAATAGGCTTTACCATATAGCCTCCCATGTGTAGCAGACTTTACTATCCAGATTTGTGTTATGTATGTACTCTATCATGTTGGCACACAATAAAATTGCCTAATAACACATTTCTCAGAACATGTCCTCATCATTAAGTGCTGAGTAACTGTATATGTTATGAGGTCCATTTAGTCCAAAGTGTAGTTCAAATCCAATGTTTTTTAGTGATTTTCTGTTTGGATTATTGATTCTTGGTAAAAGTGGGGGGGTGTCCCACGTTAGTACTGAAATTCACTACTGTTATTGTATTGTTATCTATTTCTCCCTTCAGATCTGGTGGTATTTGCTTAATATATTTAGATTCTCTGATGTGTGGTACATATATACTTACAGTTGTTTCATGCTCTTGGAGAATTAGCTTTGTGGCTACCTAGGGTCCCTGGCTAGGTTTCCTGGCCAGGTTGGGCTGAAGCCTATGCTTAGCTGCTGGGTGGGGCTATTGCCTTACTTTCCTGCTCTTGGAGGTTATGGAATGTATTATGAAGCTGCTTGGCATCTTTGGCCAGACTCCCCTGTTTAGTGGGGCAGGAGGCTATGCTCAGCAACTGGGTATGACCAGTGACTTGCTTCCCTACATGTTGGGATGTAGGATGTGCTGCATGGTTGTGTTGCATCTCAGGCCAGGCTTCCTCCTCTGGTGGGGCTGGAGGCTGTGCTCAGCAATTGCATTGCCTAGGCCCTGCTGACTTGCTTCCCTGTCTAGGAGGTGCTCTAGAATGAGCTCCTCCACCAAGACAGCTCTCTGGCTGCTGACTCAAACCAGTCAAAACTGTCGATCAAACTCCCTGTCTAGTTGGGGCCACTGGCTTACCTATGCAAATGATCAGAGCCACTGATTTGAATCCCCTCTCAGACCCCAACACTTGACAGGAACACAGTCTGTCAAGATCCATGCATTTGTTGTGAGCCTCTCCTGCCTTCTCTATCCCTAGCTGACTTTTCCAGTAACCCTCATGAGGCACACTTAAGTGGGCCTCCCAGGATTCATGCAGGATGCTAGGGCAGCTTGATGTCCACCTTGTGCTCTCCTTTTCCCATTGGAGAAACTGTAGGCCCAGGAGGACCGCCTCAACGCAGCACTGTGCTGACCTGGGGGAGGGGTGATGTGAGCAAAGTGAAAGTGCTCCTCTTGACCTTCCTAACACAGTTTTTATCTGCTTCGGTAGTCCAGGGTGTTGCTTCAGCCTTACCCCTGTGTTCTGGAATCTTTACATAGGTATCTTGTCAATGAATAGTGGCTCGTGCCCTTTCCCTGAGAGGGAACCATCTATTTTGCCATCTATCTGACATAGGTGTTCTTGTTCCAGTTTTATTAAACCATTTTTTCATACCTGGTGTCTAGATAGTCAGTTGTTTCAAGCATAATGTAAGTCTGATCTCTGTTATTGCATCTTAGCCAGAAGATGTTCTACATATTGTTTTCATAGTGAGTATGATTATAAAAAATGAATTCCCTAAGTATTTAAATAAAGAGACTGTTCTTGCAGATTGACTCTTCTAATTGGGATTTGGAAAGAATGGTCCCATTTAAGGTTTTTTATACTGACTTTTCCATTACTTTTCTTTATCTACAGTTTATCCATAGTTGGATTAGATTATTATATATAATAATGTAATATAAATCACTAATACATTTAAGTTTTATTAGAATTAGGTTATATTTAGTACTTAATGGAACTCTGCTGAAAAGATTTTATACTATCTTTCATGCTTGTTTTCCCCTAATGTTATTGTACCAATATGAAGAAATGAGATAAGGAGGAGTACTTAGACATATGTTTCTATTGCCTGAAATTTTGTACCACTAATGTATGTTCTGGAAAAGGGCATCCTTGTCCTGTGGCATTTTGCTATCAAAATAAATTTCAAGAGGTAGCAGTTTTATTCTATTTTCAAGTTACTTCCTAGAAACCAGGCATCTAATTCAGAAAGAGATAAAGAGCCGAGTTTTAAAAACCATAAACCAAGAAATGCCTCATTTATGAATGTATGCACATTTGTGCTCATAAATTGGGTAATTATGCACCTAACAACTCTATTCATTTTATCATTACTCACTTTGTGTATGTAAAAATGAAGGCTTTTAAATTTAAGTTCTGTGGCCTGGGATACTCATGATTGGGGCATGGTTAGTTTTCATGCTTCTGTTCAGTGTTAATGCAAGTCATGAAAAAATTAGAAAAAAGTCATGAAAAAATTAGACTTTTCCATGAAAAGTATATGAATATCTTATTTACTTTGTGCCAAGTACTATTATAAACATTTTCTCATTTAAATAGATTTTAGAAGAAAATATATTTAATCTAAACAATAGTTTTGCAAAAGTATATATGTATATATACATCATGTATATATATGTGGGTATGTATTAGTTTCCTACTGCTGCTGTAACAGATACCACAGGCTTTGTGGCTTAAAACAATAGAAATTTATTCTCTTACATTTTGGGAGGACAGAAATCTGAAATGAGTTTCGCTGGGACAAAACCAACCTGTTCCAGGGCCACATTCCTTAGGGGAAAGTCTAGGGGAGAATCTGTTTCCTTGCCATTTCTAACGGTGCATTCCTTGCATTGGTTGCTCATGACTCATTCCTCCATTTTCAAAGCTATTAGCCACACCGACTTCTCTTTCCTAGTAAAATCTCCCTTTGTCTCCCTCTTACAAGAACACTTGTGATTACAATTATGGTGGAGCTGGATAATGCAAGACTTTCCCCACCGGAAGATCCTTAACTTAATTACACATTTAAAGTTTATCATGTAAGGAAGCATTAACAGGTTATAGGATTAGAGTGTAGATATATTTTATGACCAAAACAGAGTACAGGGTACTGCCAAAAATCACATAAAAACACAACATGTTAGAAACCAGTACAGTTTGGAAAGAAGTTTTACAGATACATTGATAATATAAGCAAGAGGTCCTGGAATTTTTCTGTTATGTTCCAACATTTTATATTGTGGACAGATGTTCTTTGTTTCAGTAGAAACAAACAGGACATTAATCTTCAAATTTTTCCTGATATACTTCATCTTCTACTCGTCTTACCCTATGAAACCAATGCTTAGTAATATGAAGTCATGAGTTTGTAAATTGGAGCACAGGTTTACATAACCTGATTAATTTCCTGGTTGATAAAATATTTAGAAATAATTTATATTTGATATTTGAACATAGATACAGGTTCAGATATGTGCTTCTTATTCCCTTTAAACCTTTTTATTATCCTCTCCTTCACCTTTCTTATTCTCAACACTAATGAAGGATTGACCACTTTGTCACTGATGGCAAAGTTTTTCTAAGCAATATGATGAGAGCTTTTAGGAGAGAGTTCTAAGGTTTCCTTAATTCCTACAATATCATTGATCTCTGATCTAGATTATTTTTTTCTGTTTCTGTTCATTCCAGTGTTTATATTTTATCATATATCTTTGGAGAGAAAATTTCATTTGGCATTTCTAATATATAGTTCAATGACTTCTAGAGTTATCTATAAATATGTTTTAGTATGTAACTTTAGTATGCATGTATTGTTGAATATTTTATAAACTAAATGTTTACACTTTCTTTCCTGAACTGCAGGATACCAGAAGGCCCCATTGATCAGGGGCCAGCTTCTGGAAGGATTCGTGCTTTAGAAGAGCAACTTGTGAAGGCCAAAGAACAAATTGAAAATTATAAGAAACAAACGAGAAATGGTAGGTGTTTATACAATATTTTTTCTCTTCAACATATTGATATTAGCACAAATAATTGAGAATTTTCTTTCATCAGTATATTGGAAATGCTGATACTTTCTATTCTTTGCCTACAGGTTTAGGGAAGGATCATGAAATCCTAAGGAGGAGGATTGAAAATGGAGCTAAAGAGCTCTGGTTTTTTCTACAAAGTGAATTAAAGAAATTAAAGAATTTAGAAGGGAGTGAACTCCAAAGACATGCAGATGAATTTCTGTCAGATTTGGGACATCATGAAAGGTACTTTTTTTTTTTTTACTTTAGTCAAGATGATAATCTAAGAAGGGGAAACTTGAACTTTTGGTAATTTCCCTGCTGAATGGTAAATGATACCTACCATATTCATGAGTAGGAGAATACCTGAGATCTCAAAGGGCAATAATTTTCAAATGCAGTTCATCAACCAAAAATTTATCCCTGGAAAATATTATTTGAAATATATTTCTAGAAATCTTTATACCCCATACCCTAAATAAAGTGAGGGTAATGGTGTCAGCTAACAATATATTAGAAATGTTCCTGTAAATTCCCTTCATATACAATATTTGAAGTGGAGTCTGCAGTTTTCTGTTACAGTATATTGGAACTCATACTGAGGCTGGCAGTTATGTTTCTAATTCAAACATTAAAAACTTTAAAATGGCCTCTTTTTAGAGTGTCTAATTAAAGATTAATAGGTTCTTGATAAAACAGAGCATTCTGTTCATTGCCCTTCCATTTAGTTGCTAGAAAGGAGAACCTGAAATCTGCCAAATTAAATTTGTTTCTTCTGTTTGTTCATTTTTGAAAATATGCAGTTTGTGTTACATAGAAAAGAAAGGATTTTGGTGCTGGTGTGTTCATGCTAAACAGAATGTATCTGAGAATCATTAGAAATACAGTGAAAACTGTCCTTAACTCTATTATATTTGTAAGTCTATATTCCCAGTAGGAGTGTGATGGCAATTACCAGTCTCATTAGTTAACAATAAATGAAAAATTGTAGTAACACAGCCTACCACTGTGAAGAAGAAAAGAATTACCCTACAAGCAAGGGATTCATATATATTAACATCATCAGCAATATGGTAGAGATTTTGAAGTATCGCTCTACTGTTTTAAGTGAAATTACACATAAAATCTGTCAGTTTATTGTAATCATTTTAACATTTCATTCATTTAACATTCATTTAACATGAATCTACAGAAATAAGACATTATAAATTTTAAGGGGTATTGAATTATTATGCCACACACTTGGACAGACCTTTTGAAATTTCTAGCCTAGTTTGCAATCAAGCAGTAGTTAGACCATTAGACCAAATGGATAGAATATTAGAATGTTTAAAGTTTGAGTGATTTAATTAGATTACTTGAGAATTTAATTTTTAGGTCTTTTGTAAATCAAAGTAATTATTTTAAAAAATTTTGGTGTATATACTTGTACTATATGTAGAAATAGTATATGGATGTACAAATGAGAAAAGTCAGGTCCTGAATAGTTTATATACATCAATGTTAAAGTTTTTGGAAGTTGAATTATGTTTCCTGACACTACCTTTTAGTATATGAGTATGTTATATAATAACATTTCTTATTAAATAAAAATGGAAGGGTACCTAAGGTACAAAGGTCAATTTCTTTTGCTGTCTTTTGCAGAAAGTATAATGAACTGTGGATACAACCTCACAGGGCAGTAAATTAACTCCAGGCAGCCAGATTAGAACACAGTGGTACAAATAATGAGCAAAGCACAATCAAACATTAGAGAAATAACACTTAATGAATGCACAAATAGAGAAGATTTGTGTGTGTGTGTGTGTGTGTGTGTGTGTGTGTGTGTGTGTATAAACAATATGCCACCTTACCAATAATTTTCAGGGTCCTTAAGTATAAGAATTAAAACAGACATTTATGTTTACCTTTGGGTATTTTTACATCACACAAAAATCTTTATTTCATTTTTATACGTACCCAAATTATAGTGTTAGGTTGTCTCTAGACTGAAAGCCTGTGTTCTCTGAGAAATCAAAGGGTGAGACTATCAGTTTCCTTGTTCAGATTTCCCTATGAATCACTCAGCTTTTGTGTGTGTGTGTGTGTGTGTGTGTGTGTGTGTGTGTGTGTGTGTGGTGGGGGGGCAGTTCAGAAAGACATCAATTATAGGGAAAAAACTTAATGGACTTTTGTTTCTTCCGAAGGGGTTTCTTTCTTTCTTAGAACTGTGTGTGATAGAAGCATTGTTTCTCTTTTTATTTGTTTCCTTTCTGAATCACCTGTATTTTTCCCTGTATAATGTGCACTTTTTTGCCCAAATTTTTGAGGGAAAACTAAGGATGCACATTATACATGGGTATATTGATTATATACCATGGGTATAATAATCCCATGTATAATGTACACAAAATGTAGGTACACATTATACATCAGAGCACTTTATACACAGCAAAAATAGGATAACTATTACAGTATCACTTATATGTGATTATACATGCATATCTTAGTTATAGTTCTGTGTGTCTTGACAAATGTTCACAGTTTTGGAACTACCACCATAGTCAAGATACAAAAATTGCTCCTGCCCCAAGAAATTTCATCATGCCCCCTTGTAATCAGCACGTCCGTCACCACCAGTCTCTGGCAGTAACCAGATCTGTTTCTTGTCCCTATAATTTTGCCTTTTCTAGAATTTTATGTAAATGCAATCAGTCATACACTGTGTAGATTTTTGAGTGTGGTTTATTTCACATGGCATAATGCATTTGAGATTCATCCATGTTGTTTTGTGTATAGATAGTGCATTCCTTTCTATTGTAAAGTAATAGTCTATTGCCTGGTTATATCACAGTTTATCCATTCACCAGCTGAAGGGCATTTGGGTTGTTTTCCATTTTTTGGTGATTATGAATAAAGCCTCTATGAATAGTAACATACATTTTTTTGTAGAAATATATTTTCATTTATTTTGAGTTAATATATAGGAGTGGGATTGATGGGTCATAAGTTGAGTGTATGTTTAATTTTATAAGACAGTGATAAACTGTTTTCCAAAGTGATGGTACTATTTTGCAGTCTCACCAGTAATGTATAAGAGTTCCAAATGCTCTGTATTTTTGTCTGCATTTGGTATTTTTTAGTTTTTACATTCTCCCCCACCACCCACCACCATTCTAATAGCAGTATAACGGTATGTCATTGTGATTTTAATTTGCATTTCCTTACTAATGATGTTGAGCATCTTTTAATGTATTTATTTGTCTTTCATCTATCATTTTTTATTGTGTCTGATCAAATCACATGCTTAATTTGGGGGGAATTGTTTGTTTTATTATTGAACTCAAAGCATTCTTTACTTATTCTGGATACAAGACTTATTGTACATTTTAGAAAGCTCACTTTGAGAGCCATGTGAAAGAAAACTTGGTGCCAAGAAATTAGAAGAATTTTGGTAATGAGCTTCTGGATCTGGGGAGTTGCAGTGGGAATAGAGAGAAAGGGATGCATGTGTGAAAAATAGAAGCTGCAGGACTTGGTAACAGATCTGTTGTGGGGGAAAGGGGGAGTCAGAAGTAATTGAGGACTTGCATTTTGCTAGAAGAATAGCTTTCATAAATGGATATTATTGTTTCTTGTGTACTAATTTGGCTTTTTTCCCTGACAAACTGTAATCTTCTGAGACCTGGAACTCTAACTTAAAAACATTTCTACCTCACTGTAATAAGCACTCACTATTTAGTTAGTGTTCAGTAAGCTATGTTTTTATTCGGTGGGGAGGCAGGTACGTGCATTCTTTGACTGATTATTCCATACTCTACTTTGTGCCTTTTTGTAAAAACAAAATTTTGTTCTATTGAAGGATTTATGAAAATTATACAGCTAAAGAAAATTATGTTATTGAGGTAAAAATATTCTTCAGCAATCGAGAATCCTAAAAATTGTGAAGACCAAGTTAAGGAAGAAAAAGCATTTACCTTGAATAAACCTGGAAGCTTTAGTTAATTTCAACAGTGGTTTCTGCAAAAGAGAGAGTATCTGTTAGACGTCAGCTAGTGAATACAGGGGATCATACTGATAGGAAGCATGGGATTAAAAGAAAACCTGACATTGAAGGGTCTTTTTGTACTCAATATTCTTGACTTCATGTCTGAGTCACTTTGGAGGACATAAGTGGTCCCTGTATGTAAAAGTAGTCTTAAGACACAGTTATACACAAATCCCTAAAAATAACATAATGTTTCTGGCTTGGAATATAATTCTGATGCTAAGCAATGGAGAATGGGCTTTCTTTTAATTGAATGTGCATGATAAAAATATTGTTACTCAATATATCTAATCATTTGTTTACAGTTTGTGTGACATTTACTTTAATAAGGATTAGTTCCTTCACTTTGGGATTTTCTTGCTTGAATTACATCTTTTCTGTGCTGGTCCTCAGGGAATTTCTCTCTTTAACATTTTGAATCAGGCATAAGCAAAATACTCTTCTTGTGGTTCTTCAGTGGCATAATTGAGAACAAAGTAGGACATTTAAAAGTTTTATGAATATTATAATATAAAAATAGGAAACTTAACAGAAAACACAAGGAACATAAATGTAGCCCTGCTTTTGAAGTAAAGGACTTGTAGCCTGACGTAGCTGGCTTGCTGTCAGAGTCCTAGCTTCTGTTCTATTCTACCAATTGTCTTCAGGCACCTATACACTGCCCTCCAAATGACTAGCTCTGTTCTGCTGGTACTTCGCCTGGATTTGTATTTCCCAGGCTTTAACCTGGCTTCATACCAGGCCTTTAGATTTACCACCCACCTTCTGTATTTTTTGATATCTTAATGGTCAAAACTAAGACAGCCAAATTTCCAGCTTTTGGGACACTGTTAGGAGATTTCATTTCAGAGTGGAGTCACTGGAAACGGAGCACATCTGTAGAATGGTTTTCGGTCATTATGTTTCCCAATAATGGGCCACAGCTGAAACTTTCTGTTTGATTATTCTCATGTCTTCGGCCAAAAGATGATAAATTATGCAGGATGGTAACCTCTAAACATTATTGAATCATCAAAGAACTAGTTTGAATTTAACATCATTTTCTGGTCTTGTCTTCCTTATATGATCTCCAATGGGGAGGCCAAGAAAAAAGTATTTAAAAAGCAAACTCAATTTTAGTTGACTATTGTGTGCTTCTCTTTTTGGTGTTTGGCTTTTTTGCTATAAGCTTGACTATTCCACTTTCTAGACAGATTGGAATGGATATGAATAATTAATTGCCAAGACTTTTAGTACTGATGCAACATAGTAAAAACATTCACTTTTATGTTTTCACTGTTCTAACTTACTACTAAGAATATATAGAGGTAGGCAAGGGTGGAAGCGGGGTGTAGAAACCTATTCAAAGGCTACTGCTGAAATCAAAGTGAGAAAAGATGGTGGCTCGGTTGATGGCTCAGTGTTCACTGGTGGCAATGCCACTGGGTGATATGTGGTTAGAAATTGACTAAATGCTTGCTAATAGATTGGTGGGGATTGTTTCTGAAAGAGAGGGTCCTGCTTTTTTAATGGTAAATGTAAGTCATGACTTTTATTTAATGCACTATAAATAAAACCATCTACACCAGCCCTAAAGTTTCTCTTGGTAATGTAATGTCCTGGTTATGTTAGTTTACTTTGTAGCAAATTCACCATGTTGTAATTGAAACTGCTCATGCTATGTAAAAATGGGGAAGTATCTTCATAATCATTTTATTAGTTTAGGTCAAGAATTGTCAAATTGTGGCACAAGGGCCAAATCTGGCTCATAGCTTGTTTTTGTGAATAAAGTTTTATTGGTACACAGACACATCCATTAATTTACATATTGTCTATGGCAGCTTTCCTGCTATAAAAGCAACAGATGCCTACAAAGCCTAAAACATTTACTACCTGGCCCTTTATAGAAAAAATGTTTGCTGGCCCTTGGCTTAAACCATCATTTAAGAGTTATGTCAAAAATTTTCTCTGACCCTTTTGCAGCCACTCAGTGTTAAAGGTATAGAGAAAATTTAAAAGGGGACAGGAAAGGATAGTAGTGAGAACAAAAAGATAGTATTCAAATACTGGCTCCAAGTTAATTTCTCTCCCTTATATTCCTTCCTTCCTTCCTTCTTTCCTTCCTTCCTTCCTTCTATCCTTCCTTTCTTCTTTCCTCTCTCTTTCTCCTTCCCCTTTCCTTCCTTCCTTCCTTCCTTCCTTCCTTCCTTCCTTCCTTCCTTCCATGAGTATCCACATCACCCTAGTCTCTGTAGTGCTCTGTGTTGGGAAATAAGTACAGCTGACTGTCTAGAAGTAGGTTCTTCCTACCAGTAAAAATGTACAATAGTAATGAATCTTGGATGTTAAAGACTAATTATTGAATTTCACAGCCTTGGTGGTTAGTGTGAACACCAATCTTTATTAAGAATTTTATTTTCTTCTTATGATTGTGTAATCCTCTGATGAAGTACAAATACGTAAGACCTCCAATGTTGTTTGCTTTCATAGGTCTATAATGACGGATCTATACTACCTCAGTCAAACAGATGGAGCAGGTGATTGGAGGGAGAAAGAGGCCAAAGATCTGACAGAACTGGTCCAGCGGAGAATAACATATCTTCAGGTAAGGTTAGGTTAAGAAATAAACTTGAGTGAAAAAGAAGGAAAATCATAATGAAAGAGTTGCTGTTGGTTTTTAGTCTTACTAGGCCTTGCTTTTTGAGAGCACTTAACTCACTCATTTGATGTATTTATTCAGACAGACTCTCTGTGATGCCTTGAGTGGAATATAAAGATGGCTAAAATAAGGCCCCTGCCTTAAAGAGGGCCACTTCTGTGTGTGTGCGCAACACACACAACTACAATGCAAAATAGAAAGTTCTACATTTTATACAAGAGATATAGATGAAATCCTCATTGGAAGAAGGAGATGTCAGGGGTAGTTTTGTGGAAAGAGTGTTATTTGACCTTAGCAGTAAAGAATACTTAGGTAGGATTTAGACACACAGGAGAAGAGCACAGTAGTTATGATGCATATAAGCATATGATGTGGGTAATGGTCCATAGCTGGGAAAGGGCAATACAGGAACAAAATGAGATATGGGATATTTTAGTTTGTCTGGAGTTTTAGGTTATGTGAAAAGAAGGATGGAAAATAAGCTGGAAAAAGGTAGGTTTGGGAGCCAGGTTGCAGAGGTCCTTGGGTGCAGGCTCAGCTTTGTAGGTTAAGTTTTAAGTAGTAAGTGGTCACTGAAATGTTATTTATTGCATAAAAATCATTTTAATAAGAAATAGGAAGTAAAAAGGGTAAACCCTAAGACCCAGGCCCTTTTCAATTTATTCTCTTCATGTTTTATCTTTTAGTTAATAATATGCATACCTACTCTTACATATTTGTGAGGATAGAATTGATTTCTTTTTTTTTCTTCATCTGTTGGAAAATTTTTTCTATTTTGGAGTCACAACCTACTTTTGAAAGGTTTTTACTCATAAGAGTGGGATGATGAGAGTGGTGCTTTAGTGATATTAATCTGAAAGTAGAATTTTGGTTAAACTGTGTTAGTATTGAAAGACACTAGCAGCAAGGAGACCGTTTAGGATATGAGGACCATTCAGCAAGTGATAAATTTTGAGGTATGTGGCAATTTGCATTGGAAGTGCAGAGACAAACTGGAGGGAGACTGGAAAGATAGAATTGATAGGCCCTTCCAAGTAGGTGAAATTGCATAATGGAGGCATCATTAATTGACAAGGAACTTACAGAGAGAATAGTCTTCAGGGGAAAACTGTGTTAATAAGTAGAATTCTTCAATACTCAAGTTGAAATCATCATGCCTATTCTTTTTTTTATCCTTATCAGAAGATATGTTTACTGATAAAAGGGAGAGAGGAATGGGGCAGGGGGAGGGTGGAGAAAGAGAGAGGGAGAGAAAGGCACATTGATTGGTTGCCTCCCTGCTGGGGATTGAACCCACTGCCTAGGAATGCGCTCTGACTGGGAATTGAACCCATGACTTTTTGGTGTACAGGGCAACACTCCAACCAACTGAGACACCTGGCCAGGGCACATGCCTATCCTTTTCAATACTATTGATGGTATGTGTGCTTCCTGTGTCCAATCATTCTGCGTTTCTTTCATGGTTAAAAGGAGAATTATAGCCAGTGATTTGATTCTGTATGTGTTAAGGTGCACATTTTCTTATACTTAAATAGGAAAAAATAGAAAACCAAGTGTTTAGAGAGATCATTGAAAACCAAAATGATCTTGGCATGCTGTCTTGGTCTCATACTCCCATGTCCATTCATCAGAGCTATCTGTAGAATGGGAAATACTTGCCTCCTATAGAGAAGAGGTAATTATCTTTATCAGCTAGAACTTCATTCAATGAACTATAAACAGCTGGTGGTGCAGAACTATCATCTCATTTAAAATGGAAATAACTATGGTTTCAGAGTTTCTTCCATTTCCACATATTTATTAAATTTTCACCCAACAGAATTTGTATTTAAACTATGATTTTTTCATAGTTCAGCTCCTCACACTGTAATAAGAAACTGCTTTAGTTTTCTTTTTTTTCTCTCTTGTTTTTTAAGTGACTGAGCGCTCTTACCTGTAGTGCAGATTTGACCCTCTACTGATTTCTCTGGTTCCATGTGAGAGAATCTCACTTGCAAGTCCTGCTAATCATTTAAAACAACATTGGCTATTTAATTTTTTAGGCATTGGCTAAACAGCATTTCACTTAAACCTTAACTGTACTTTCAATTATTACTATTTAACAAATTCTTACTTTTACGCTTTTCTTTTTTTTCCAGTAAAAAAGTGATTTTCAGTATTCAAGGAGATAGTGAAAGTTTTAGTAGAAGTTTTAGAAAAATAATTTTCTTTAACTATTTAATATATTCATGGTCATTTTTTTAATGTAGTCAAAGTTTATGTGAAGTCAAGGACTATTTTTAACACCTTATCTGTTAGAGGTTAAAGATGACAGTCACTCTTCATCTTCTCTGAATAGAGGTGAATTAGAGTCCTTTCTCCTGTTCCAACAAAATTAAACATGCATATTTTTAAGGAACACCTTTAACAGGAATATTTTTTCCCAGGATATTTTTAAGCATGAGAGCTATTTTAAAAGAATGATTTTTTCACTGGTTTAGTGAAATGGATTAATTAGAAGAGCAGAGCTTTTTATGTGAATTTTTTTAAATGATTACATTTTCTCCATTACAACTTTTTTCAGCACCATCATTTCTCCTATCAAGTCAATCATATCAGAGGCTGTCTAGGATTGTTGGAAGTATTCTAGTTGATGTTCTGCCAATAAAATAGCCCTATAGCTTTGGATTTTTCTCTTGCTCAGATCTACCTGAGGTTGGTGGGTTTTTGTTTATTTGCTTGTTTGGAGGTTTGTTTGTTTGTGTTTTGTTTGTTTTAATTTTGAATTTTGGTATGAATCCTCTTCCACTGGAGTGAATAGAATGACTGTTCTTTCTGGGTTTGAAAGTGTCAGGGTTTGTAAAGGAGACCATATATTGAAGCTGCAAGTATCATTTGAAATAAAGAGAGGGGTTGTATAGTATGCCATATGAGGGTTGATTATGTTTAAAAGGTTAGGGATAGGACAGATACTATGTTTGGTTTTGCAACCAAATCACTCAGTGTCCTGCCTGTTGTACTTATGTAATAGATGAAACAGGAAATAAAGCTGAACCCTGAGAGAAAGCTTTTGAATGTAAGGGATCCTTCCTGTGTTCAAAGCCTGCATCCCATAGAGGCTTTAAATAATCTCTTTGAGTGTTCACTGCTAGAGTTCTTTTCTTCAAACAAATGTTGTTTTCCTTTTACCTTATATAAGAAGATACAGTACCATATTGTTCCCAAGATTTAAATTGTTGAATAAAAGTTGATTTATCATTTTCTAAAAGGAACCTATAGGAGCCAAAATATCACTGGAAACACAAAATCATTAGTTTGCCAATAAGTAAGTAGCATTGTAGATGTGAGTTAAATGTGCATTAAATGTTTGAAAATATGTTAGGCTTCAACTACAGGCTTCTGTTTCTGGATAAGGTGTAGAAAACACTTTATACACTGTTCTTCTGGCTAATTAAACAAAAAGAAATCCTATACAGAGTTCATTTCTTTTGTTTTGTTTGCTTGCTTGTTTGTTTTGCCTCCCTTATATCTTAATTGAGGGTGCTAGAGAATCTTCCAAACTGAAAATACCAGTTTATGGAGCCCAAAAATCCCCAGAATTTATTTATAAAATATTGTGTATTTATTCTTATGTGTTTAAACTTCAGTCATCTTCAAAGTACTCTTCCATTTGAAACAAAACACTTATTGAGATGTTTTTTTCCTCTGCTCAAAACAGTTTTTGAACTCGTTGATTTTGATACCTTTTAGTACTTCTGCTGTTTTTTGTTACACCTTTTCCACAGGGCAAAATGTGGGCTTTTTTTCCCTTTGAGGACTTTTTTCATCCAAGGAAACAAAAAAAGTCACTATAAGGGTGAGATTGGGTGAATAGGGAGGGTGGGGCACAGCCATCATACCATTTTTGGTCAAAAACTGCTGAACACCCAGTGTAGTGTGGGCAGGTGCATTCGTAAAACACCCATCACGAAACAGGCAAACATGTTGAAAGAGTTTCCGAAAAAAGTTCATTGAAACCAAATACAGCCTCTCACAACAATGCCAGTTGATACACTGACACAGTGGGTTCCTAGAACACTCACCTAGCCAGGGAAGCCTGTACTTCAAGGGGCCTGCTTTCCAGAAGATAATTCCAGGTTTTTTGGGTCCCCCTTTGACCCACCTTATTCCAGATGAACTTCATGAAAAGTTACTTCCTTACCCTTCCTGGGTGCAAACAGCGGTAGAGATTGAACACACAGCCTTGTCACCATGTCTGCCCTGAAATAATGAGGGCACCTCTACCTCTCCCAAGTGGCATTAGAACTGCAGAGACTTTGGACAAGACCCACCATTGCCACACTGCAGTAATGAGGCAATTCCCATTCCTCTTCCAACTAGCGTTGAGGGAAAGTTAGGAAGAGGATGCCATCTAAGAAAGGGATTTTTAAACCTCTCTTTGGAAGCTAAGGCAGACCTCTGAATGTTCCATGTGTGAAACTGATCAGAAACAGAAAGAGGTTTGAGAACTGAACTCTGGTATAATATACTAGCTGAGCTTCAGAATGGCCTCTAGGTAGCCTACAAGTGGGGTAGAACAAAGTATCAGTGAAAAAGGCTTTTGACTATTAAATTGACATTTGAGCCACAGTCCATGAAAGTGAGCAAGGAATCCAAACAGTTAGACTGCCTACTAACGTAGAAAGTAGAGTCTCATAATATAATACTCGTTATCATACCAGGAAAATCTTAATTCAGATGACAAAAGATAATCAGCAGACACCACACCGAGATGAGACACAGATGTTGGAATTACCTGACAAGAACTTTAAAGAAGCTATAACAATAAAACTGCTCCATTAAGCAATTACAGACTTGAAACACATGAAAAAATAGAAAGCTTCAGCAAAGAAATAGATGATGATACAAGGAAAAACCAAATGAAAATTTTAGAACTGAAAAATACAATAACTTAAAAAATTGGCTCA